TCCCCCTCTCCCATGTCCCCCCGGAACTGTCAGTCCCGTTGTTTTCTCCTCCAGATTGTTCATCCAGCCTGTCCTATCCAGACAGGCCTGCTATTTTCTTTGTTTTATACTATGGCAAACTTCCTCGCCTCCTGGTACGACTTGTTCCTTGTACTGTGATTCAGGGCATTTTCTGCCCTGACTCCAACTGGTAAGTGTTGAAAAAGTGCAGATGCCACCATAATCAAGATAACATCGTTAGGGACTGTTGTTTCCCCTCAAAGGAGCCTCGCAGCTTGTCTGTACACGGAGCCAGGGCTTAACTAGATGAGGCCCGTTTTAAAAGTCTCTCTGATTAGTCTTGTTATCCGGGGTAAAGCTCTGAGTAGCCCTAGGTCTGTTTGGGAAATAGACCCCACCTCGAAGCTGTCAGAACTCTTAACACCCTCTTATTTCCTTTTTAGGAGCCATTTACAGAAACTCGCCAGGACGGTGTGTCTCGCAGGTTCATCCCCCCAGCCAGGTGCCGCCTCCTCCTCAGCCCTTGTCCCTTTCCAAAGGCCAGTAGACTGAGTCAAACCCAGGGGTTGAGATGTGGAGCCGGATGATGGCAATGGCCTAACCTTTGGCTCTATCAGAAAAGATGTACTCCCTCAGACCTGGTCCGTTACCATCCATTATTGATTGAGTTTTTCTTGCCACTTACCCCGTAGAAAGGGACAGTAGCTGTAATGAAGAACTGAGGAAATGATGAAGCCTTGTGTGGTTAATTAGTAGAAGAGCTGGCTTTTGAGAAGAATTTTAAAATAGCAAATGATGTTAGATATTCCCTTAGTTCATGAGAAGGTAAAGTTCATGTTGGAGGTAAAGGTGGTGAGGGATGTAATATTTCAGAATGGCCTTTCTTGACTCCGCTCCCCTTTCCACTGTAGAGACACACACAGCCGTTTTTGATGCCCCTTCCCTTAGCCCATCCAGGCCAACCTTCATGCAGCAGGCCCCATGGAAGACCAGCATAGCCTCTCCATGGGAGAGCGGTACCCTAGGGAGGCTAGTCAGCTAGGAGTGCATATGCACCTTGAAGCCCCGCAGCCAGTGCTTGAGAGTCTCTGCCACTGGCACCTCAGTAGGTGGAGGAGGCCTCTCTGCTCCCTCACGTGGCCCGTGGGCGGGGGGCTGTCTGCAGGATGATGTCTACCGAAAGTGCCAATAGCTTCACTCTGATCGGGGAGGCATCCGACGGCGGCACCATGGAGAATCTCAGCCGAAGACTGAAGGCAAGTGTGCCTCATCCCCGTGTCACGCGGTGGGCACGGCTAGTAGACGAGCACAGAGGCCACCCCCTGACTCTCTCCTCCTCCCAGGTCACGGGGGACCTTTTTGACATCATGTCAGGCCAGACGGATGTGGACCACCCACTGTGTGAGGAGTGCACGGACACCCTCTTAGACCAGCTGGACACGCAGCTCAACGTGACCGAGAACGAGTGTCAGAACTACAAGTGAGTGCTTCCAGCGCCCAGAAGCAGGCCGAAGTGGTAGGGCAGTCACTGCTTGGAGCCTGCCTTGGCTCCAACTCAGGAGCTGTGTTCCTCTCGGGCAAACGGCTAGCAGGTTCGCTCTGGTAAGTGTGCGCGGCGCTGCCTGTGTCCCTGGCAGACGCTGCCTGGAGATCTTGGAGCAGATGAGTGAGGACGACAGTGAACAGCTGCAGATGGAGCTCCAGGAGCTGACCCTGGAGGAGGAGCGGCTGATCCAGGAGCTGGAGGACGTGGAAAAGAACCGCACGATCGTGGCCGACAGTCTTGAGAAGGTCCAGGCCGAGGCCGAGAGGCTGGATCAGGAGGAAGCCCAGTGAGTGCCCACCCCATTCTCTGGCCTGCGCTCCCTTGAGACTCCAGGGGAGGAAATGACTTCCTGCTGAGTGGGCTGGTGACAGTAGGGACTGCAGTGGGTCCTGCCCGTGGCCTCCAGGCCCTGTATCTGGGCCAGTGTTTGCTAAAGTGAGCAATCCCCCCTCCCTGGGGGCGCTGGAAAGATCCGGGAGCCCTGAAAAAGCAGATACCTACATTTAATCCTGGATTGGAGGCTTCAGCACCAAAGTTTTTAATTGCTAGGAGAGTGCTAAGTCATGTTTATTCATTTTCAGAAACGGGGTGGTCAGCCCAGTCTGTTGGGGAAGCTTGTCGGGAAGGTCACAATGCTGACTGAATGCATGAATAAGTGGAGAGGGGTGTGGGTGGGGCAGGACTCCCATAGGAAGAGGGAACTTCACTTGGGGAAGTCACCCTCAGAACTCGGCACCTCACCTGCAGGGAGGGTTGAGCCACAGGTGGTATTGACCTGTGACTTGTGGAGGAGACACAGCCTCCGTCCTCTAGGTGGCGCTAACTGAAGTTGGGAAGTGAGAAGCAGAGAAGTCCCCTTTTTTTGCAAAATAATTTGATTGGGAGCTCTTACAGCTCTTAAAGCATTCCATACATCGATCGTCTTTTTCATGGAGCCCTGGTGGATCTGCTGTCTGAGTCCAGTATGGCCAATTCATGGAAAAAAAACCCCACCCTTGGCCTACCCCCTCACTTTGGAATACCAGAGGGGCTTTTCCTGGTTTGGGAGAGTCCTGTTTTCTACTTTTTTTTTGTTTTTGTAGATGAGCAGTTGGAATTTGAGACATCTTTTGTTCCTCCCAAGCACAATGACTAGGGCCCAGATCTATGCGACATCTAAAAGATGCTGTGACGCGGTGTGCCCTCCCCCCACCAGAATAGGTCGTTCAGAGGGGTGGTGAGGGAAATGGTGGCCCCCAGATAACAGCCTTCAGTGGCCACCTTGCCTGCTCACAGGTATCAGCGGGAATACAGTGAGTTTAAACGCCAACAGCTGGAGCTGGATGATGAGCTGAAGAGTGTGGAAAACCAGATGCGCTATGCCCAGATGCAGCTGGACAAGCTGAAGAAAACCAATGTCTTCAATGCGACCTTCCACATCTGGTAATGAGGCTGAGGCTGAGCCGAGTCTGGGAGGTACTGAGTGTCTGCACGTTAAGCCAAGGAGGTGCCGATTCCCCACAGAATAGCACTGCTCCCCTCTCTTGGTTTTTCTTTCACTCCTGGTGATGGGATAAGTACAGTCAGAGCATTAGAATCCTTGGAGCTTGGTGACTACCCTGCCAAAGAGGGAACAGTCTGAGCCTCCAGCTACATGAAAATCTGGTAGCATGCCTGGTTCTGATTGCCTGTCACCACATCATTTATGCGTTTGTTCACTCCCTGTTTTAGCCCCTCAGCTGAGACCCATTGACCTAGTTGGGCAGCCCCCACTGCTGTGCACCACTCGGGCAGCACCACACAACACATGGTCTGCCGTTGGTCACTCATCTGGTGGAAGAAAGAGATTAGTGGACACTTGTAATCCTGTGTGATCACGGTAAACTCAGAGTGCCGCAGGAACACATGAGGACGTTTTACCCAGTTTGGGGAAACCTGGGCAGCTCCCCCCAGAGGAGGCTGCGGTGAAGCTGAGACCTGAAGTCTCTCGTGCAGGGAGTTATTCCCGAGAAAGAGAACATCGAGTGCAAAGCAACAAAGAGGGAGCAGTGGATTCAGAACTGAAAGGAGCTTATTGTGGCTGGAGACGGCGCACAAAGGGGAAAGGGGCAGGATGTGAAAGTGGAGCATGACCAGTTCCTACAGCATGTGGTCGACCTCACTAAGGGGGTTGGGCTTTATCCAAATGCTAGTGGTGCCACCAAAGCATTTGGGGCAAGGAAGTGACACCAGTGTGTGCAGTTATCAATGAGAGTTGTACCTGCACTTTGGGAAATGGCTTGGGAACACAGAAGAGTATTGTTTTAAAAAATAAAAAAAAAGTATTGTTGCTCAGAAGACTAGTTAATGGGAAAAGATTGGGTGGTGACTAGCGTTGAATTTGGAGGGAAGTGGGGCACCTTGAAGAGATTTAGGCGGTAGAAGCAGCAGGGCTTGGTGGGTTTTGTAGAGGAAGGATCCGAGGATGGCACCCTGGTTTCTGCTTTGACAGCTGAGCAGTTGGGGGAAATGATGACGGGTTTGGGGATGCGTCTAAAGCGTGTAAAGTAGAGCTACGTTAAGTGAGCCTGAAGACAAGGGGAGATTCGTGTTAGGTTTTGGCTGGGAGCAGGCGATCGCAAACATTTCTGGGTGTTAAGTTCCTCTTGTGTGTTTCTCCACTCTCATTTGTAGGCACAGTGGACAATTTGGCACAATCAATAACTTTAGACTGGGTCGCCTGCCCAGTGTCCCCGTGGAATGGAACGAGATTAATGCTGCTTGGGGTCAGACGGTGTTGTTGCTCCATGCCCTGGCCAATAAAATGGGTCTGACATTCCAGAGGTAGGACATGCGGCTCTTTGCTGGGGTGTGGTGTGTCTTGGTATATCTCAGCTCTGGCAGGAGCACTTGTTCTCAGTAGCCAAGACCAAACTCACTGCCACTGAGAGAGGAGGTCGATTCATGGCGCCCCTACAGGATAGAGTAGACCCACCCCTGTGAGTTTCCTACGGGAGTAGAAAACCCCATCTTAGCAGCCAGCGGTTTTGAACTGCTGACCTGGCAGTTAGCAGCCCAGCTTATCACCACTATGCCAGTGGGAATTTCCTGTGGCGAGACTCTGCTGTGGCTCTCCTTCACCGAGAGACTCTGCTGTGGTTCTCCCTCATTGAGAGACTGCTGTGGTCTCCCTCATTGAGAGACTCTGCTGGGGTCTCCCTCATTGAGAGACTCTGCTGTGGTCTCCCTCATTGAGAGAGTCTCTGCTGGGGTCTCCCTCATTGAGAGA